TCTTGTTAAAATTGAGTTCATAATCAATCTATGCATCTTTTTGGTTCAATTCTAGTTTAATTAAGTTATTGATTATGATTTGAACGAGGATAGGGAATACCTAATTAGGTCAATAAAGAAACATAGATTGTGTTGGGCCAAGTATGGAGATACGTATGCATATGTCAACAAATCGCCCGACATTATGGACTGACGTCCCTCTGAACAGAGAAAGACAGACATATGTACTGGCATAGCATTTAATGAGTCCACAGGCGTCCCAAACCGCCTGACAGTACAATTGAGTTACTATAAATAGCCCCGAAGGGGCAGCATTTATGGTAACTTCGACCTACTCAATTCTCTCTCTTATTCACTTTACATCTACTTCTCTCTCTAACTTTAGCATCAAAGGAGGTCCCAGGATTCCCCTGAGGACCTTTCTTTCAAGGTTTCGGAGACCGCCCCCCGTCTACAGAAAGCCGCACGAGGCTAGTGGAGTCTCACAAAACCGCTTGGTACGATCCAGGCACAAACATTTTGGCGCCCACCGTGGGGCCCCACAACTTCGTTGCGGGAAAGATGGAGACGATTTCGAGACCCCTCTCAAAGGGATGACCGAGAATAACACCCTCCGAGGTCTATCGCCAAGAGTCGAAGATGAAAGTGAACTCGAGGAGGTAGTCAAAAATCAAGGTGTACAAATCGCAAGCATGCTAGACAGCCTCTCCCAAATCCTCCAACTCTTGAAGACAAGGGAAGAACAAGCAGAGGGCTCAAAGGGAAAGGCACGCGAGGAAAAATATAAGGCCGTCCACATCCTCGACAGCCCTGCTCGGACAGAAGGCAGGGGACTAGACGCGGAAGAGGTGGACCTCAGCTTCCTCGAAGAGCACCTGCGGTCAACCTATGGAAAGCACAAAAGCCCGAACGTCCTGCAAAATGCGTTGTCAAATGAGCTATTCAAAACTCCAGTCCCACCTAACTTCTCCTCGCTAGGGTTTCCCACTTACAGCGAGATCTCAGATCCCGCGGACCACCTTTGCACTTTCATGTTGAAAATGCAACTCATTAATGCGTCCGACTCGGACTTATGCAGGGCGTTCCTCGTCACCTTCAACGGTCAGTGCCGCACGCGGTACACCTCACTTCCAGAGGGGATCATTGAGAATTTTGATCAATTCGCGATGCTCTTCTCTACGAAGTTTGCATCCCAAAGACGCCACAAGCTCACCGTCTCAACCCTCATAAATTGTCGACAAAAGAAGGAAGAATCGCTTGCGGAATTCTACGACCGCTGGAACGCGATCGCATTCGAGGTGGACGGCATCTCCTCAGTTGTAGCCGCCGGAAACCTCACAATATCCACGACTAGCATCGAGCTCAAAAGAACGTTGATAAAAATGGAAACCACCCTGACATCGTGGTCCAATCTAGATCAACTGGTGCGACGAGCAATCTTGCTTGAAGAAGACTAGTCACTGAGGACCGTTCCCAGCAAGGTCACCCCCGAGGAGACCATCAAGAGAGAGGAGATACCAGGCGGGAAAGATGCTCTCCAGAACGGAGGACATATCGCAACCGATATAACGAGCGTGATGGCTAGAAGGAAGTATTCTCCACAGACCGCGAAAGAGGAAGAGAAAGGCGGAGAGGAGGAAGAAAACATGATGCGCCCTCCGGGCAAGAACCCCAAGACGAAAAGAAATGGTGCGACTGGCACTAAATCACCACACACGACACCACCGAGTGTCGGGAATTCAAAGCCAGCCTGGGATATTTGGCACCGGGCAACTTGCGAAGTCGTATGGAGACGAGACGCTCACACCGCGACCATTCTCAGGAGACGCGAGAAGGATCCCATAGCCCCGATATGGAGAAAACAAAAAGAACAAGGAATGAGAGGTCAAGGTCGCCGACCTGAAACAAGGTCGCCTCTCCTCAAAGGCATTCTCCCGCCTACCGACCCCATCGCAACGACGATGAAGGAATGGAGGTCATCACCATCGCAGGAGGACGAAAGCGGCCTCGAACTGAAGGAGACCGCATGGCCCAGTGAGTCAACATCCAGCGAAGAATGAAAACCGACGTCAACTTCTTACAGTCCAACAGAGAGGAAAACACAAAGGACCCCTTGGTCATCTCCTTCTGAACTGCCAAATTCAAGGTCACGCGGGCTCTCGTGGATAATGGAAGCTCCGCAGACATCCTCTTTTACTCAGCACTCAAAGGAATGAAGAAAAGAGTTCAAGACCTCAACCCATCCAACGCCAGCTTGGTGGGGTTTTCAGGAACTAAGGTCTGCGTCCTAAGGTCGGTCACACTCAAAGTCACCATAGGTGAAGGCGGTATCACCAAGACCAAGCCAGTGGAGTTCCATGTAGCAAATTGCCCCTCGGCATACAATGCCATTCTAGGACGCGGTTTCCTTGCCTCCTTCGAGGAGGTCGCATCCACATGCCATTAGATGCTGAAGTTCCCTAGTGGGGGACAAATGGGACGCGTCCGAGGGAACCCCAAAGAGGCCAAGGAGTATTACCAAGCTACCGTCGAACATCTCGAAGTTGACCTTGTGGACGCTAGAGGAGACGTCCCACGTCCCAAGGCCGCTGAAGGCGATATAGCAGTCGCTCTAAACGAAGAGCGACCAGACAGGACGGTCCGCATTTCAGCCCACATAGGCGCAGAAGAAGCTCAAAAGCTACTCGCACTCCTCAGAGAGTTCCAAGACCTCTTCGCTTGGGGACCAGAAGGCATGCTTTGCGTTCCCCGCCAAATATCCGAGCACCACCTTTCGGTCAAAACAAGAGTGCGACCCATACAAAAACGAAGAAGACACCTGTATGTCGAGAAGCAAATGGCTCTCGTGGAAGAAGTACGACGGCTACTCAAGGCCGACTTCATTATAGAGGTGAAATATACTACCTGGCTCTCAAATTCGGTCTTCGTGCGAAAGGCGGAAGGTACCTGGAGGATGTGCATCGACTTCACCAGCCTCAATGCCGCCTGCTCAAAAGATGCATATCCCCTCCCCCGCATCGACAAACTCATCGACGGAACCGCCAATCATGAGGCGCTCAGCTTTCTGGACATGTTCTTTGGGTATCATCAGATAAGGATGGCCGAAGGAGACCAAGAATTGACCGCCTTCATGACACCCATGGGCAACTTCTGCTACGTGGTTATGCCTTTTGGGTTAAAGAATGCAGACGCAACTTACCAGCGGATGGTGGATGCAGTCTTCAAAGACCAAATGAGAAGAAATGTGGAGGCCTATGTCGACGATGTGCTAGTCAAAAGCAAGAAAGCGGGTGATCACCTATCTGACTTAAGAGAGATGTTTGAGACTCTAAGGCGGCGGAATCTGAGACTTAACCCCCTCAAGTGCGTCTTTGGAGCCGAGGCAGCGAAGTTCCTGGGCTTCATGATCACCAAAAGGGGCATAGAGGCTAATCCAAAGCAAATAGAGGTCATACGCGGCCTAAAACCTCCAAAGACCATCAAAGAGATTTAGCGCGTTCAATGGCAAAATGGCCGCACTTGGGAGATTTATCCCTCGATCAGCATACAAAATACTCACCATTCTTCCAAATGCTGAAAAAGTTGGCATCAAAGCTACAGTGGAGCGCCGAATGCGACAAAGCCTTCGCATCTCTGACGAGCCAGCTCAATTCTCCGCCGGTCTTGAGCGCCCCCGTCAGCGGAGAGCGACTCTATCTATATCGGGCAGTCTCAGAGCAAGCTGTGAGCTCCGTGCTAGTGAGACGAGCACAAGACGGTTTTGATCAGCCGGTTTACTACGTGAGCAAAGCACTCCTTCCAGCCGAGACAAGGTATATGCCGGTGGAAAAAGCGGTTCTTGTCGTAGCCTTTCCAGCATGAAAATTGAGGCCATACTTCCAAGAACATCCCATCACCGTGCTTTCTCACCTCCCGCTCAAAAGCATCATGAGGGGCATGGACGCCTCAGGACGGCTTCCAAATGGGCATCCGAGCTCAACGAATACGACATCGAATACGCCCCGCGACCAGCCATTAAAGGTCAGGTCCTTGCTGATTTCATTGTGGAAGTTTTTTCCCTCGAGACCGCCCCATCAGAGGAGCGACAACAAGTCTGGCGCTTGTTCACCGATGGAGCAGCAGGAAACACCGCCTCAGGAGCATGCATAGTCATCGAATCACCAGATGGAGCAGTCCATGAGATCTCGTTGAGGTTCAAAGACATCAAGACCAACAACGTCGCCGAATACGAAGCTCTCATTAACGGATTCCGAATACTCTCTAACCTGGGAGTGTCCGACGTGCACAGATTTTCTGACTCTCTATTAGTGGTCAAACAAGTGCATGAAACTTTTGAAATCAAAGATGAGAGGTTGGCGGTCTTGGCCAACAGAGTAAGGGGCGCCTTGCCACAACTAAACACGTGGAAGCTTGACCACGTCCGACGGGATAATCAACATGCTGACGCACTTCTAAGCTGGCAACTGCTATGGATTTAGAAGGAAATCGACACGTCACTGTCACTAAAGAGAGCGATTCGCCTGATGAGGTCATGCACATCAAGGAAGCTACTGACTGGAGGACGCCCTTGATCCAATATCTAGAACACGACATCGCTCCCCAGCATCCAGCTGAAAGGAAGGCGCTTAAGTGCAGGGCCGCTCAATACTCAATCGTAGAAGGCCAACTATGAAAAAGGTCATTCTCCAGGGCATACTTGAAGTGTCTTGGAAAGAAGGAGGCACGATGGACTTTGAAAGCTATACACCAAGGGACGTGTGCCACGCACGCGGGTCCTCAGTCGCTTGAAAGAACGATTCTCTTGCAAGGCTACTACTGGCCCACAATCAAGAAGGACGCATAAGACGTCGTTCTCAATTGTCATGGGTGCCAAATACATGCCTCCAGGCACCACCTCCCTAGCTCAGAGCTGCAAAGCGTGGTCGGTCCATGGCCATTCGCTAGATGGGGTCTCGATCTTTTAGGACCCTTTCCCACAGCTCCTCTTGGTAAGAGGTACCTTATAGTCGCTGTCAATTACTTCACAAAGTGTATCGAGGCAGAACCGCTTGAGACCATCACCAGCGTCAAAGTTCAGAAGTTTGTGTTCAACAACATCATGATCCGCTTTGGCATCCCGCAATCGATCATCACTGATCATGACACTCAATTTGATTGCCGGTCATTTGAAAACTTTTGTGCGAGAAACCGCATCATATGCACCATGGCATCAGTGACCTACCCGCAAACAAATGGTCAAGCTGAAGCGTCCAACAAGCTTATTTGCAGGGGTTGAAGAAACGTATGCGAGATGCCAAAGGGGGCATGGACGACCGAGCTCCCACACGTCCTATGGTCGCATCGCACAACCCATAAGATAGCCACATGCGAAACACCTTTCACACTAACATATGGCTCGGAGGCCGTCGCTCCTGAGGAAATGAACCTACCCTCCCTTCGGGTTCAGACATACAACCCAAAAGACAATCACAGGAAGCTGCTGGAGCAACTAGACATGGTGGAGTCGAGAAGAGACGCGGCCTTGGAGCGTATCATAAGCGAAAAGGTGAAGGTAGCCGCCTCTTACAACAAAAAGGTGAGGTCGCTCCCTCTCGAAGAAGGAGACACGGTTCTCAAATGTGATTTCCAAAAGAGGAACGAGCATGGAAAACTCGCTGCTACTTGGGAAGGGCCATTCCTAATTGGCAAAAAAACAGTTCCTAGCACCTTTCGCCTCGCCACCATGGAAGGCATCCCTGTCTCCAAGACATGGAATGACATGCATCTGAGGAGGTACTACTCGGACGCCGTCTGAGGAACCTCACATCATAGTGACGATATTTTGAAGAGGCTGGGTTACACACCCGCTCTTGTAATAGTGTATTGGTAGCTATCATAGCAACCTCTTTTGCTCAAGTAATACACTTACCTATTTTTCGGCTAATGTCCCGGTCTTTTATAAGTATGATCATTAGTTCCAACAATGCATACTTAGGCGCGAACCACATAACCGCCCACAAAATTAGGATATGACTTCATCCGCCAAATAAAGAAGGCTAGCCACACGGCTGAAATAAAATTTCCAAATCCAACATAAGCACAAAGCGGTAACAAAGTAGTCATTCAACAAAAAAGGGACGCTTAACAATCCCAATTGACCATTGTATTAAAAGCAAAATTACAAGCCAACACTCGTGACCGCTCACGGGTCACGAGGACCGCCATCGCCTTCACCATCGTCTTGCGAGGCCGCTTCCCCCTCCTCCTCTTCATCATTTTCAGAGTTCACATCCGTGTCAGCCCACGAGCCGATGGCGTCCCATATCTCATCAGTGCTCCAAATCGCTTCAGGTTTCTCCATACGAAACCAATGTCGGATGGCGGCAACCGCATTGCCAACAATGGTTTTGTACTTCTCATTGTCCAGAGCCTGAAATTCGCTCGACTTTAAGTAGGTCAGGCCAGCTTCAGCGAGAGCTGTCTCGAGCCCCTTCTTCTCCAGCTTCAACGATTCCAGATCCTTGCGAAGCGAATCATGTTCTTCTAACAACAACTTCTCCATCTCACCGGAATTCCTCACCCGCTCTTGCAATAGATCCCGATCTCTGCGAGCCCCTTTGACAGCTTCCCTCTCCGCACTCAGTTCTTGATCCTTCAACGTCAACTGCTCCTTAAAGTCCTGTTCCAGCAGTGGGCGAACTTCTGCCATCAATGTTTCCCGCCCTTCGCTCAGGCTCTTCTTCAGCTTGGCGATCTCTGCGACCTGATTTTCAATGATCTTCGACAGGCGGTCATTGTTCATCAGAATCTGAGAAAACCCCACCTGCGCCTACACTCGCCAAAACAAGAAAGTCAGTAGACACGCTTGAACATGCATAAAAGTCATATCTAAGCATACACACCGCGAAGAAGAATTGAGTAGCGGACCCAGCAAGGCGCCTGCTACTACCACCGGACGAGGCAATATACTCAGAGGGAATGGCCAGCTGGTCGCTGATGGTGTGGAAAGCGAGCTCAGCCACTTCACCGTCAGTAGCCACCTAAGGGGGAAGGTCAATCTGGGTCACCTTGACTGAAGAAGCAACGCCCTTGCCCCGATCCTCCGCCACCTTGGAACGCGGAGAGTTAACCTTTGACCGCTTGGCCGTTCCAGCGGGAGCGCTCTGCTCCATTAGCCTTTTGCCCACCCCACGGGTAGCCGCACCAGACGGAGCCGCACCTTGTGCAGGCTGTGAAACAGGCACTGCGGTCACCGCATCCATAGAGGATGAGCCGTCGCCCCGCGGATCACTCGCCTTCGCGACTACCTTCTTCTTCTTTGGCCTAACCGCATCCGCCAAAGCTCTCAATCTTGGAAGAAGAAAGCATAAGTAAACTCACATGAGAAAGTGGAAGCAAAACAGATAAGGAAATATGCTACTAACCATAAAAATCGCGCACAAGCTAGTACGCGCTCCCCGAACCGCTAGGGAAGACGCGTAGCTAAACGCCTTCGACGACATGCTTAACGTGATCTCTCACTGACTGGGGAAACTGGGTCGAGGAGCACCAAGAATCTTTAGAACCAACCGCGTATCCGGTCGGAAGAGCGGTCGCACCCGAATATCACTGACCAGTGGGCGTGCAAAGAAGTACTCCCTATACCAAGGCGAGTCCAACTTAGGCGCCCCTGAAATAAAGTCAACGATGTTCTCCCGCCTCCCAATCGACCAGCAGTTGGTCGAGTCTCGGATCTTGTAAATCAACCGGAACGCGTCAAAGGAAGGCGTCTCCTTTACAAGGCTACACGCATAGCAGTACATCACGGAGTGAAAGATGATGGTGGGTGACAGGCGTCCAAGGGTGCATTGCAGCAAGTTGAGCGTCTGAGTGAGAATAGGCTTCAGCGGGAACCGTAACCCCAACTTCACGTGCTCCACGTGAATGGGGATCCAACCTTAATGGCAAGACCTTGATCTGCTCTCCTCCGACGGAGCCGCATATTCCCACTCAGGTGGCAAGCCTAGTACGTTCAGTCGATGAAGTACTTGTGAAGGCTTCAAGGCCGCCTCGTACTCAGGACCATACTCGAGCACCTCAGGGGGCACCCTCTGGTCGGCCCACATGGCTTCATGACGTAGGATAGTATACGTTGAATCCTCAATCGCCAACCGCGACACACCCTCATCCTCTGACTCCGCTACCTCCAAAGAGGATGAAGTACTAGGAACCGCCTCCGAACGTACCTGTCACTACTAACCGCTTCGTCCTCATCCAAGGATCCGCTATCTAATTCTATAGCCCCAAATTCACCTAGGTTATCCCTAACCGCAGAAGATGTTGCCACAACCCCAACTGCTACAGGGCGCGTGTTAGCAAAAAAGTTATCTAACCCTAAAGAGTCCCCAAAAAGACAATCATCTAATTCCGAACCGCTCCCGAGATACAAGTCAAGACCAGAGAGGTCAAACACGCACTCGGAAACGCTTCGAGTGGGAGAGCGAATCATACCTTGCGTAGTAGGGGCCAGATTTCCCATGGTCGCTGTCGTTTTCCTCCCAATCGCGACAGAAGACGACGACGCTGCGGAGGCTAAAGAGCCTTTCCCAGTAGCAGGGGCAGAGGAGGGCGCGGTGCCCGAGGCCACGACAGAAACAGGGTCCACCACCGGAGTAGCCTCACCAGTTGGAGCCCCATCCATGACGGTCGTCGCCCGCTCACCTCGCCGATCGGCGAACTTCGCTCGTCCCTCTACATCTGCACTCACAACAGAAGTTCCACAAAGCCCGACGCACAAAAGGAAGACGGCGACTCAATAACAAAAACAGAGAAGCGAAACGACGGAGAAGAAGGGCCGCACCCCATAAACCAAGGTGAGATAAAAGACTTACTAGTGATTTTATCGGATTTTATATCGCCACTCGCCGGAAGAGAAACCCTCTGGATCGCGCCAAGAAAGAAGAAGGAAGAAGAGGACAAAAGTTTCTCACAAATAGAAGCAAAATTGGAGGACAAAAGTTCTCCGAAGGCCACTTATAGCAAAATTCGAAACCCAAGAGGACAGAGATGACGTTTCGTCTGACTCTGACAAGGTGCACGTGTCACCGCTGACATGAAAGCGCAGGACGCCTGGCAGCTTGACCACCCCATAGTCGTTCCCCGCATCAGGCCGCCACGGCCAGAGGCAGACAGGTAACCATTGATCGCAGAACGTACAGCCGCACAAGAGCAGTACGCGGGGTAGCCGCGACAACCTAACGCTTCTCATTACTAAGGGGCAAATGTTGGGCCAAGTATGGAGATACGTGGGCCTGAGGCCCATGGTTACAAAACCCACAAACTAATAGACCAAGCCGAGGCGGTCTACCTAGCACATCTACGAGGCCCATGTCTGCTTTAATCAAGATTTAAGACTTGTTAAGGACTTCCCACATTAATCATTAATATGGCTAGTGGGAGAGTGTCGCGTTATAACATTCACTGTCGATATCACGCCTTCTAAGAGACGTGATCTGGCTTTTTAGAGAGGAATGCGACTGTGGGAGGAGTATACTTTGCAAGCTCATTTTTGGGATACCATGCCTCCTGAGAGATCGGGTCAAGCTTTTCATAATGAAACACATCTATGTGAGGCTAGCACATTGTGGAATCATTCCCGGTGTCACGCCTTCTAGGAGACAAGATTGAGCTTTGAAAGCAGAATGTAACCATGGGAAACTGATGTATTGCAATGCTCATTGTCGATCCTCCCTTATGGGATTCATGATCAGACTTTTTGGAGAGGAACGTGACCGTGGAAAGTTGACATGTTGCGTTGGTTGCAGTTAAATTTGAAAATACAAGTTTGTATGTCGGAATATGCCATTGTGCATTCATTTTGATGGTTTTCCTATTTTCTTACATGCTCTAGCCTTCATTATACTAGTTGTGCTAAAATACTTCGGACACTTTGCACTAGTTTGGCGAGTGATTTTTCCTTGGCTTTACAATCCGATTCACTTGATCGGTATTCTGCAATGAGTTAAGAATATGTTGACTTTGCGAGCTTTCGTCTTGATTATGACGTGTAACCAGCTCAAGAGGGCTTCGTATTCTACGACGTTATTTGTCTTTAGCTCTTGAAAACTCGTCGAGATTTTGTGGATGGCACTCTTTGCGTTTCTATGATGATTTCCGCCCCAACTTCTTCTTTCCCGGCAGCTACGCCGACAAATAAATTCCAACACTGGTCAGTCGGTTGCTCATCTTCGTCCACAACAAAAATATTTGACAATGAAATCAGCTAGCGTTTGTGCCTTAATTGCTGCCCACGGGGAGTATTCAATATCACATTCACTCAGCTCGACGAACAACTCATTTTCTGTCCTAGGGTTGAACCTGTTGAAGGCCGCAATACTCCCATTGAACTCATGTATCTCAATGATTGTTTGAGGTGGTTTTAAGCTGTCAATGACCTCAATCTGTTTAGGGTTGGCTTCGATTCCTGTTATTGTGATCATGATTTCGAGGAACTGCTTCATCTCAAAACATGCACTTTAGTAGGTTTAATCTTAGGCTTTTCACTCGTATGTTGTCGAATGTTTCTTTGAGGTCCATAAGAAGGTCATATGTTTTCTTGCTTTTGACCAGGACGCCGTCAACATACGTTTTCACGTTTCTGTCGAGTTGGCCTCGAAATACGATGTCCTCCATTTGCTGATATTTTGCCCCTACGTTCTTCAAGCTGAATAACATAACAATGCATAAGTAATTGCCCATCATAGTCAAAAAAAGTTATTTTTTCTTGATCCTTTTATGCCTAGCATAGCTTGCGGTATCCCGAGAACATATCAAGGAAACTTAAGATATCGTGATTTTCGTGGCGTAGTGTCAATGAGTTAGTTAAACCTCAAGAGTGGGTATTCATCCTATGAGGTAGTTCAGACAGTTAATCATTCTGACCGCTTGCCGACCGAGCAGTCCGATTCTCGCGGTTATTAAGCTGAAATGAGTCGACCTGGCAGCCGAGTGCCTGTTTCTACTACAATTCTAATAGTAGGAAACAACCAAGCATGACAATACGTATATTAGTAGTTCTTTCTAGTTTCTGCGAAGCAGAAGCAGCTCTTCAATGATAAAGAAATGGTGATATACATAAGATATATCATTATTACTTACGAGCCGCAAGTCAATACTTAAATTAGGGGCCAACGCCAAAGGAAAAAGACACAACTAATATGCAGATGCAAAACAATGGAAGATGTGCAATTTGGTGAAGACAGAGCCAACTGAAATGTTTATTCTTTCATCTGCGCTTCAGACTACACGAGGGAAAGATCATTTGCCGGAATGGATCTCTTAACAAGCTTCGTCCAAGATTCATTGGTCTCTTTGATCACTTTGAGTGCATAGTCCTGTTAAGTCAAACATCATAATCCAGAAACAAGCGTTGATTTCAATTGGTTATAGGAAAAATATACGGTTTTAACCAAAAACTGTTAACTTTCCAGGACGAGTAGTAATTGAACTCCTGACCTTATTTGCTGCCTTGTTTCCAAGACCAAACTTATTTGCAGGTTTGCCATCAGGAATTTTATAATCCCTGAACCAGTCCCTGATTGCAGTAAGAGTCCCCTGTCGCAAATGGAGAGTTTTTAAAAAAGCTTAATTCGACATCATAAACTAAATTCAGGAGGAAATTTTCTGCAGTTTAACCATCTTCAACTTGACAGGATAAGGTCCATTAGGTTGAGCAGTAAAGCGACCAACTTTACCATCAATAAAGGAATCTACTGTTTAGGAGTCTAACTACTAGAATTGCATGGCAAGAAGAAGTTGAAAGGCTTCGAGAGGCAAGACTATGGAGTTCAAAATTCAAATCACTAACTTACGAGGACAAAAGGAAAAAAGAGTAAGAAAGTAAGCTTTACTCTATTCTGATTTCAGGCTCTAGTAATCTATAGTTCATCTTGCAAGGTTATATTGTGAAGTTGTTCATTCGACGAGGTAACGCTCAAGCAAGCCATAACTTATTAGACATTTTTAATGAGAGAGCTCATCAGTTCAAAGTGACTCTCCTATCAAACATAACAAAGAGGAAAAACCAGCAAAAATGTTGTTAACTTGTGTACAGTGTTCCATTTTCTCTCTGTACTAATCCTCGCAGGTAGTCCTAGAACATTGCACACGATGATGTAATATTGCTTTTGATCTGGTTGTTAACACCAATTACAATTGATTGCTTAGAAAGTAGAAACATAAATAAACGGCCTTCAGTGATTAAAGCACAGAACTGGATAAAAAATGCTTGGCAATTAGTTTGTTGCTGGTCTTTAAGCAGTTATTCCCACATGGGGTTATTAGAAAGAGAGGCGGGGTTCAGTATTAACCCACAGACATAAAGATCGTCAATCTTGAACTTCCTACCATCAGTATTAACCAAGACATTAATGGCATTGATCAGGTAACCAGTAATACGTACCGGAAAATGTTTCTCGACGTCGTCAACATCATTCACTAGTGCAGCTTTTGGGTCGTCTAAGGAAATAGCAACTATTTTCCAATCAAGCTCGCCTTCATCAATCATGGCCAAAGCACCCAGTGGCTTGATCTTAAGAATTTCACCAATCTCTCCTCGCCTCTCTCCTATCTCAACCACATCAACTGACAACCACACACACACAAACACAACCATTGCAGTTGTTTAGACTGTTTGCTTCATGCTGCCATTTGATGTGAAAGACGCAATAACGTATTCAAACGGCGGGTGTTAGTGTTACCATACCTGGATCGTTATCCCCAAAAGCACCATCAACTTCATTGTTTGCAAATGAAGGGTCCTCCCAAGTTTGAGGAAGCAGCCCATAATTCCAATTTATGTTGTATCTAAACAAAGGACAGGAAAACTCTTCACTAAATTGCACAAAGTATCAATCATATTGTGCTGACTAAGCTGATTAGGAAAAAGCTAATGTGTCCGAATCCTGACAGCAACTGAACTTACGGATAGTAACGAAGCTTCCCTTTCTTCGTATCTTGCTTGATCGGAGTGAATGGCTCGTCGGTCGCCACCTCCATTTTGGCACTGCTTTCTTTGGGAATCTCCACAATGAAGTTGTAAACTCCATCGCCCAATTGAAGCGGCACGTCGTGCCACGGCGAAACCTGCTCAAAAATCAAAACCTTCTCCATCACATTTTGTCTACGCAATAGCTACAACAATTAGCAAAAGCCCACGAATCGAATTGAGTTTGAAAAGTGATTAGGACCTTTTTGCCGGAGTGATCCACGAAGAATACACGGTAATCGAGAGTCTCCGGTTGGCCTTCGCCTTTGATTTGGACCTCAGGATTGTAGATGGCTCTGCAAGTATAGAATCGCCGCCCCTTGGCAGACGGCGAAGACAGTGCCCGGCTGCTGAGACGCAGAGCGCCGGAGCTAGCGGAGAACGGCTTCAGGAAATAGGAAGCCGGGGAGGGTATAGACCGGGGATACCGCAACACTCCTCCGGCGAACGCCGTTACTCTAGCAGCCGTCGTGGTTGTTGTAGCAGCCGCCATTTCACTTCTTCGCCTTCAACTTGGGGGGGACAAAGGGCAAGTCTGTGAATCGACGTTTGTGAGGCTGCGATTGCTCCCGTCTCGCTTTTAGGGTAGTATACTATACACAGTGGATATCAAGCACATATTTGGGCTGCACTCTTGCTCTCCGAAGTTCCATTTTCACCCCTCGAATTCTTATTAAGCACAGATTAGACCAAACTTGAAAACATTTTTTTGATGAGCAAACATTTCAGTCTAGGGTAGGTTTGATTGAGTGGAGGGTGCAAAAACATGCTTAGATCATCCACAATTCTTTGATGGTAAACCCCAAATTTAGTTGAGCTCTAAAAAGCCCGCAAAAAATTACAAAGAATTAGTCCATTTTTGCTCCAATACGGTACCAAATATAGCTCGACTGTATCATTCCATCTAATTAATTATTCAATTTGACACCTTAATTAAGGAATTAATTGATCTTTTTGCATAGAAAATATCAATGTTTTAATACGAATATTGGTATTACTTTGGTTTGGTCAACTCAAGGTCGATATGATCTAAGAAGTTGAGGATACCACACCTTCTTCTAGCATTAAAGAGTACATTTAGGACATTTGTCTCTTTCATAAGAGATTGGGATCTCTGGCTTGTATGCTAATCTTTCCCTAAGAATTAGGATGTTTGACTCATGCATGAAAGATTGAGATGTTAGGCATGCATGTAGTTTCAAAACAAAAAACTCGAGGCAAAGGAATCAAAACGTCCTCCAATGCTTAGGTTGACAAAAGAAGAGAAAGATAGCTTACAGAGATATAATAGTTCATGAATTCTTCTCCTTTATGTCTACGAGGACGGAGAGAGTTGGTATTTATACTATAGTGGGATTGGTTGTGACATTTAAGATTTCTCTTTTGTTGTCTCTTGAATATATGAGTTGTGGACCATGAGCTTTATGCCCCTTTGACTGACTCTTTCTTGGGTCTTTGATTAAATTCTTTTAAGGTCTAAGATAATATGTCCAATCAGTTGCCCATTTGATGCCATTCAACAAATTTGGTGATGCCAAACTAGTTGTGGCATGTGTTTCTTGTTTGCTGGATGTTCTTTGATTCAATTTTTCTTGGGTCATGGGCCAACTGATAATAGGTCTTTGTTATATCGCCACTCTTATCCTACTGATGCTTAGGCAAAATATGATCACATCAAACATGTTTTTACCATGCAACACCTTCTTTCTTAGGATGTTCGCACCCAATTAACGACCCCTTGGTGTTTCTAGACAAAACATGAGAACAATCTTCTTCCTTCCCTAGGGTGTTTGCACCCAATGTATGCTCCTTGGTGTAGCAATGTTAAACATAAGAATATCAAAGAAAAGTACTCCATCTATAATCTCTCATCCTTGCCTGAAGAATGGCCTCAAATTATAGGAGCACCTGTCACCAAAATTTCCAAGCAAACTGTTCAATTCCTACCTCCTTATCAAATGCTAATGATAAGAGAGTAGAAACTAGCTATATGGAGGTTAATGTGAGACTTTTGTTGGAATGGTGTTGCTATTTTATAAGAACTAAACGATGTCGACATGTCGTATCATCAAGCAGAAGTCCCTCCTCAAAAATGATGTCATCTCCATCATCACTTTTCATCCATTGCCTTCATCAACTATCAGTCAAAGCTCTATAAGCTTTTGTGGAGCTGTAGAAGATCATATCCACAACAGCTCTCATTCCTCCTTAAAAATATTTTTTCAACATTCTTCTTTTCTCAAAATCATCTCCAACGTTCAGTTGCTCAAACAGTCATTGATACGTTCTTAATTATACAATTGTACTCCTTAATCTTCATCGTTTCTTGGTCATTTTTTTGAAAACACTCTTTCTTAAGCGAATTGTATGCTAGGTTGTATTTGTTTATCATATTTCATGTCTTAGTATGTGGATAAGACTTAGGATCTAATTTCGAGACATTTGGAGGTAGCTAGAAAAGAGACTAATGAGGTCCAAAGAGAGAAGTCATAACAGTATAAGAGAAACTACAGATGTTTATTTCCTTCATCTAAAACCGTGACAATTGAGCTGACAATCACGATCATTCCTTCGAAAACAACGGTCATGTAACTAGTGATTAAGGTCGTGCAAAATGGATAGGGTCACAGTAGAAAGTCATTAGCAGACCATCCAAAATCATGGTCATGACTTTTCCATATTCACGATCGTGATTCCCTAAAGATACTAAGTGAAATGGCCTTTTTTGGAAATCACGGATGGAAACCTCAAAATCACTCTTGTGATTACTCGCTGTGATTTTTACACTACCACGTAAAAACAGAGTTTGCTAATTTTTGAAGTGGAGAGCTTGGTGTTTGTCAGAAAACAAGATAGAGAACAAACCTAGAGAGTATGTGTGACTTCCAAGAGTTCCTAGAGTGAAATTGGCAATCTCTTTACCATTGGAGCTCGAGGAAAAAATTTGGACAAGAGTATTGAAGACTACACAATGATATCTAAAGTCATGGCACAATTCCTCCTATCGTCTGTATTTCTTTCTCTCTCGAAGTAAACTCACTTTTCACTTGGGTATGAGGAACCTAGCTACACGATGTCGATTTGTTGATAGTGTGGATGCTTTGCCTTATCGGACTCATGATTTATATATAATCGATGCATATTCATTGAATCAAAATTTCCACGACCAAGCATTATTGATTTATGCTATAACCTAGGAGAGAGAATATATGAGTAGGTTGATAGAGGATCGATTGCATAAAGTGAGTCAATTCACTACTTTGTATTGGCTATGAATCCAATCGAGGGAGTCTAGTTTGTATTGCCTTGATAGCATGTCTTAGTCGAGAATAAAGTCCCTCTAAGCAGTCTAATCAAGACGATGTTGATTTCTTTTATTGAGATTCAAGTCTTTTTAAGGACTTTTCACGGTTTAAAGAATGAGTGAAATAAGTTAAAGAACCATCAATTATCAATCCACCTAGTGGCTAGGGACATCATTGCATGAGTGATCTTTCTCATATGAAAACTTTTTCAAATCAATCTATGCATTTTTAGTTTCAGTTATTTTGGTTAATTGTTTCAGAATATGATTATGCTAAATTATAGACTAAACCTGAGTAATAGTAATTCTAGAGTCTCGTGGATTCAATAAGTAAAACTTACTGCTACTATATTGTTTTCCTGTCTTTGCTTAACTTGGCATTAACTTGAGTGTTAGTTGTAGCAAACTAAGTTTTTTTGCACCGTTGTCGGGGAACCTCCAGACATCCAAGAAAGGATTAAGTCCATCACTTTAGTTTTACTTTTCTTTCATTCTCTCACCCTTTTCACGATTGATGTGTTTCATGGTATGCATGTAATAGTGCATGAACCTAAGCCAATCAGGTGAATTAGTGCATCTTGACAACAAAATCAACCAGACTTTGCGAAACCTTAGAAGAGAAAGAGCCTTAAAACAAGCTCTTGAACAAAAAGAAGGAAAGGAGTCTTCTCATGCAACGAAATAAGCAAAGATCACAATAATGGCTGAAGGACAGCCTGAAGCTGAGAAGACCATGGGGGTACTACCTCAACTCTAAGATTGATGAAAAACAATATAAAATTTGACACCCTTTGATTGTCGTCAACAACTTTGAGATGAAGACCAACATGATCTCAATGATACAGAGCTCCATACAATTTCATGGTATGAATAATGAGGAGCCTCATTAGCATATCTTAAGATCCCCGGAGTTGTCTGAGGGGGGGTCAAAGTGAATGGCATACCTTTTCCATCTAGGATTGATCGTCAAAGATGCCAAGTTGAATTGCATGAAAGAGTTTAAAATTTTGGTTAAGGCAGGAACCGTGATTGGGAAGGCAACTTGGAAGCTTTATTCGAGCCAAATGGAGGAGAGTCGAGACCATAGAGATACCACATGAAAGTACAAGTTTCATTCTACAAACCAAAGGAATTGGCTGAGGATTTGGAGATCAATTGGACCACTTTCCAGACGTCCAAGTTGCAATGAAAAGCAGGCCAACAATCCGAGTTCCATAAGGAATCCGAGTCCCACAAGGATTAGGTGTAGAATTAGTTTCCTTGTTAAATTAGGTTTATTTCAAGTTGTGTTTTAGTTTTTTATGCATATAAAAGGCTTCCTTCGTGTATAGTACAAATCAGATTGAATAGAGAATAATTTATCCTAATTCTCAAAAGTGTGTTCGATGAGTTTTTATTTGGTTTTGGTGCGTCCAAAACTTGTTGAACCCTAGCCCATTGATTGAGAGTTCACACTCAATTACATCAAAGGCATCACTATAACAATCGTGTAATCTCCCAGGTGTGAGATTCCCCTTTGTTCCATCCAATTCCGATTCCAAACAAGATATCCAATGTCGTTTAGGAACTCTGTTTTGTGTTTCGAAGAGGTTCAATTCACTTGAATCCTTGAAGTTGTGCCATTCTGTTCCAACTGAGACCCCTCTAGGGCTCATCAAATGGCATCAGTAGCTAGTTCTACACAGTGGCAAAGAAGACGACTTCGACGAGGGAAGACGTGCGTTGGACAAGGTCGAAGGGCCCTATTTCCAGTGATCCGGCATTGCTGCTCTCGGAACAGAAGAAGAAGGAAGCGGTGGCAACGACAAGTAACTCCACCGAAATTGACTCCTAGACCGCTGTTGATTGTGCAAAGGACGCAATGGGTGAGAATCAACCCATCACGATAGCATAGCTTCATAATTTCTTCCAGCAACAGGTAGTTGCTCTGTTCTAGACACAGCTAACTAAATAAGACGAGAAATTCCAAGCTCTTTCATCGAAGTTCGATGATTTGAACCAACAGGTCGCGACATTGAGTCAACAATTCATTGATTTGGAGGAGGTGGTTCATTTGGTTGTCGAGGTGGAGAAGCAGTTGAAGCTTGGATCGGAGTGAAGGTTTTCTTCTACTCCATGACAGGGCAGTGCACCTGACATGCTCCTGCGGACAATCCAGCTCCAAGCCGGCCAGCAATTTTGAAGCCAACCATTTCCCAAGGTGGTTATGATCATTCTGGAGGATAGACTAGTAAGCTTGAGTGTTACAAGTGTCATGGCCGAGGGAACAAGGCATTTCAATGCCCCAATCCAAAAACACTTGTCATTCGCGACGACGAATACTACTCCAGGAACGAGGAAGAAGCAAAACGTCCCGACGATGAATTCAGCGAAGAGGAGTTGGATGAATCCATTGAGATGGAAACTCCAGGTGGAAATCTATTGGTGAACACAAGAGCCCTCGTCGTTGAAGCAAATGTCAAAACCCAGCAGCGTGACAACCTGTTTCACACTCGCTGCAAAATCCAGGGGCAAATAGTTCAATGGTGATCGATAGAGGAAGCTGTACCAACGTCGTCAGCTTGAAGGTTTTTAAGAAGCTCGAACTAAGCACAGTGAATCACCACGAGCCCTACCGTCTTCACTGGCTCAATGAACATGGAGTTGTAAAGGTGACGAAGCAGACATGGGTTGAGTTTGAAATCGTTCAATATAAGGTTCGAATTCTCTGTGATGTGGCTCCGATGCACGTTACTTATATTCTTCTAGGAAGACCTTGACAGTACGATTGAGGAGTTACCCATCATGGCCGATCAAACTGCTATACTTTCAAGCATGAAGGGAAGAAGTTTAAACTGAAACCTCTGTCACTGATCGAGGTTCGTGACGATCAACGACATCTGAAGTCAAATCGAGCTCAAGGAAAGGAATGGAAGGGTATAGAGGTGAGTTTAATTGCTCGGAGGTTGGTGCACGCTAATCTCCGGCGAGATAAAAATCAACAATTGCTCGAGAGACGACACCTCTGTTCATCATCGACAACAGAGTAGGGGGGGAGAGAGAGTGAATTGGGTGGAGACTTGGGAAACGAGTCAATCCAATCCAAAGGAGCAGACACCTTCCATGGATCAACAAGAATCTCATCCCTGGTCTGTTTTACGTTGATGTAACATCCACTACAAAATCAAGAACGAGCCAAATCACCCCTCAAAATGAGCAAACATGCCAAATTTCGGAGTTATTGGTTGGAGAGTTTGGGGTCGATTCGATCCAAACTACTAATGAAGAACATCGAGGAAGGTGTTGGGAAGCTGAAGGGATCATCAATTTAGTGCAAGGATACATGGGAACGAAAACTCCAAATCAAATTGGGACTCCTGCGCCCAGAAAATTTGAATTGTGACAATGGCGGGAAAACTGAATTGGTCGATTCGACGGCGATGGTGAAGAGTCGACGCTGGAGACCAGAACAGAAATGAAATTGGAAATATGGTGAAGCTCTGGGAAGTATTGAATTGTACTGGATTTCCCTGAGGAACAAAGACCCAATTTGCTCGACGACGAATTGCACTCTAAATTTCCAGAACAAAGAGTTCGACCAGCCTACATTGGATCCGATTTGGGAACACTTTTGTGAATCGTTCAAGCAACAGAAGGCCAAACCTTTGAGGGCAAATATTTTTCAACTGGGGGCTTGATACAATCCTAGAATTCATCCTTTTCCATCCAGGATTGATCGTCAAAGATGCCAAGTTGAATTGCACGAAAGAATTTAAAATTTTGGCTAAGGCAGGTACCGTGATTGGGAAGGAACTTGGAAGCTTCATTCGAGCCAAATGGAAGTGATTCAAGACCAGAGAGAGATACCATATGAAAGTACGTGTTTCATTCTACAACCCAAAGGAATTGGCTGAGGATTTGGAGATCAATTGGACCGCTTTCCATATGTCCAAGTTGCGATGAAAAGCAGGCCAACAATCCGAGTTCCACAAGGATTAGGTGTAGAATTAGTTTCCTTGTTAAATTAGGTTTATTTTAAGTTGTGTTTTAGTTTGTTTGAATTTTTTATGCATATAAAAAGCTTCCTTCATGTATAGTACAAAGCAGATTGAATAGAGAATAATTTATCCTAATTCTCAAACGTGTGTTCGATGAGTTTTTTATTTGGTTTTGGTTTGTCCAAAACTTTTTGAACCCTAGCCTATTGATTGAGAGATCACACTCAATTACATCAAAGGCATCACTATAACAATCATGTAATCTCCCAGGTGTGAGATTCCCTTTTTGTTCCATCCAATTCCGATTGCAAACAAGCTATCCAAGCTCGTTTAGGAACTCTGTTTTGTGTTCTTGTTTCGAAGAGGTTTAGTTCCCTTGAATCCTTGAAGTTGTACCATTCTGATCCAACTAAGACCCCTCTAGGGTTCATCAAATGGCATCAGTAGCCTAGTTCTACAGAGTGGCAAAGAAGACGACTTTGACGAGGGAAGACGTGCATTGGACAAGCCCGAAGGGCCCTATTTCCAGTGATCCGACAGTGCTGCTCTCGGAATAGAAGAAGAAGGAAGCGGCGGCAGCGACAAGTAACTCCATCGAAATTGACTCTCAGACCGCTGCTGATTGTGAAAAGGACGCGATGGGTGAGAATCAACCCATCACGATAGCAGAGCTGCAGCATTTCTTCCAGAAACAGGTAGTTGCTCTGTTCCAGACGCAATGAACTAAACAGGACGAGAAATTCCAAGCTCTTTCATCCAAGTTCGATGATTTGAACCAACAGGTCGCGATATTGAGTCAACAATGAGGTCCAGTCAGGGTGACCCCAAAGTAGATTGAATAGAGAATAATTTATCCTAATTCTCAAACGTGTGTTCGATGAGTTTTTTATTTGGTTTTGGTGCGTCCAAAACTTGTTGAACCCTAGCCTATTGATTGAGAGATCACACTTAATTACATCAAAAGCATCACTATAACAATCGTGTAATCTCCCAGGTGTGAGATTCCCCTTTTGTTCCATCCAATTCTGATTTCAAACAAGCTATCCAAGCTCGTATTGGAACTCTGTATTGTGTTCTTGTTTCGAAGAGGTTCAATTCCCTTGAATCCTTGAAGCTGCGCCATTCTGATCCAACTAAGACCTCTAGGACTCATCAGTCCCCATCATGGCTATAACGACTAGTACCAAGGGTATCTCTTATATAATGGGTTGTGCATAGAAGACTTGCACATGATAGAATCATTTTCCCTAGCGGTACAAAGAATAGAACTCCACCTTAGATGACTCAACTCTTCAAAGAAGGGGTTCTTCAACAATATGATAAATCAACAAGAAGAAGAATGACACAATGTTTACGTATTATCCCTTTGATTGTTTATCGAACACCTCCTTGGCTTTCGGAGTAATCATGTGTACAATATGCTCTACATTGTTGATTCTCATCATAAGATGATGTTTCGTAACGTCGACCAATGCACCAGAAGTGGCCAAGAAGGGCCTCCCAAAGATGACAGAGTAATTTCTATCTCTATGCATATCAAGTACTACAAAGGCAAGAGAGAACATGAAGGGCCCTATCTCGACCTTTAAATCCTTCTCCATGCCTAATGGTCGGCAAACCGTATTATCATCCAAGGAGATACTCATGGTTGTGCTCTCTAATTTGTATATGCCTAGCATCATAAAGATATTGAAGGGCATATCATTAAGACTAGACCCTAGATCAATAAGTGCTTCCATGTTGTGAATATCATTGAGAACACATGGAATTACGAAGTGACTCGGATCAGGCAAATTTCATTGTACTAAGAGTTGCATGTGGGAAGGTATGTTTCCCATCGCGAGCATGCGAGATAGCTCATGATATTTCTTAAGAAGTCGCTTTTGCTCTTAAGGGGTTAGACATCCCCATAAAGGCCATCAACGTTGGTATGGCAGCTTCATCCCCTCCTAAGGAAGGGGATAAGGGTACGAGCACAGAACCTGTACTCGTAGTTATCAAAGTATGCAACTTCAAGAACGAACAATAGAAAGGTTGTTTAAGGGTTTTTGTTTGTAGGGATAAAGTGGAATTGAAAGTGCAATCTCAACACAAATCGGGAGAAGGCTCAATCAACCTAAAAAGATAGAATCTCGACCACAATCAACCTCAATCAACCTACAGAGAAGAGTTCAAGCCTCAAGCTCAAAACCAAGATAAAAATCAATATTCTACTACAAACTAACCTTAAACCCCGAGTCTCAGCATTTATATATGTCTGGACAATTAAAAATAACAAAAATAAAAACTTAAACACAAAATCTCGTCAGTTAGGTTGGTCGAGTATTTTGGGCGAATGACCGGGGGAAATCATGCCAGCAATCCCCGACCTTCCACTCATTTCCCCGATCGGGGAATTTCCTTCAGCCAATACCCGATCGGCCGCCGCCGCCAACTTCCTTGCCTCTTGTCTTCGCTTTGGCCCGGGGCCTGGGGAATTGGGCTTGCATCAGATAAACTCATAGAGTATACTCTAGCCAAAAGAACTAGAGCCATTTATAAGAGGGCTGAAAAAGGTTCCCCGCCCGCCAAATTGGATGGAATTTTGGTTGTTGGGGGCCACAATTGTCCTTAGGAGGCGTGGATTTCCTCTCCACCTTCTTCTTTGTGTAGAAGGTGCTTATGAGAGTCTTCATGGAGTGCTGGTTTCCTTGTTGTGGTGAGGGCAGGTAGAGTGATCCTTGTACGAGTTTCATTGGCTCGCGCTTCCCTGACCCTTGTTTGAGATAGTTGTCGCATTAGGAGTTTCATTCTCGGCGTGATTATTTCCCCAAAATAAGAGTTAGAAGCTCATAGTAAGTAGAGAACAAATTTTAAGCACGGGAGATACTCACCTCTCGTTTCCCTTAGCAGACCTTTTTGGTCCAAACGACCTTAGATTCTTCTTGCGCATTCCAAAAGACTCCAAAATGGTCAAAGATCCCGCATAAGGGGTCTACTCTAGAGGTCAAAAAATTGGGACCCTAAGCATCAATTTTAACCCAAACATGGCGGCTGGGCTGCCGTTTTATGTCCAGTGGGAAACGTCCACCTTAGCTTTCAGATTCAAGCAAACACCTCTTATTCTAACGCTCACCCTCCAGCAAGCAAAGAGCAAGAGGGGAGAAAGGGGGCAATGCAGCAGCATGTAACAAAAAACAACTAACACCTTCCATAAAAGACCAATCACATTCTCCTTCTTCTTATTATAATTTATAAATGAAAAGCCAAAATGAAGGAAGGAAAGAAAGAAATAGATAACAAAAGATATGTCTCCATCATTGTTTCAATCAGAACAACTCATAATAAAAATGAACTGTTGCTCACCATCAAGCACAATTCCACCCCCACCCAATTCATTCAGTCAGTTTCGAGCAAGCCTTGCCACCCCAAGAAAGAAGATGCTTTGGACCAAGAACCCCGGCTCCGCTAAAAATATTTTTAACCAATCACAGAAACACTTCCCCTTCTCTCCTAATGACATTGCAGCCCCCTTCTTATCTTCAGTATGTATATCAAACTCACTTTTTACCTTTTGCTGCTATCTGATTCATTCATACATCATTCATTCTATGCTAAAGCTAAAATGGAGCTCGGTTTTTCCATCCTGTGCAACCAAGCAGTATGCCGTATAGAATTGGGTATCTATCCTAACACTTATGCTGCATCTTGAAGCTCCAACACATTCGGATGTAGGCTCGCAATTCCCCCAAATTTTAAAACTCCCCACCACCACCAGTTGGATGCAGTTCAATTGAAGAGGGAGGGTAACGAACTGATGATATGAAAATGCTTTTATTTAGAAAAATAGGGACATGACAGAAGAAAAAAATACATTATCTATGTACAAAAATTCTTGCTTAAACTGTTGTTGATAACGATGATGTACTTTGGGTACGTAATACAAAAAAATTCTAGGTCCAGAGGCAAATACCTCATGGAAGAACCCTTGGCTTCTGAGTAGTGAAACGAGGAATCCCCAAGATAGCAATCAATCCACCGATAAGTGCTGCCAAAGCTCCCACAGCTATGGCTGGTGAGTTTCCACCACCAAACAGTTGGTCCCATGGACCAGATCCCAGTGAGACCAGAACCTGCGTTCAGTTACCACAACACAGTACCAAGTTGGATTAAGATGATATGAAATTTTCACTCAAAAGTGTTTCTTCACTTGCTACAACTATCCAAGATTAGAAGCAGTGAAGTAGAATCGGAACCAAATTACTCTTCCAAACAGAAATGATGGTAGCCTCTAATTATTAACATCAATTTGCTAACTATCTTACATTCATATTCCAGAAAGGGGCACCACAAATAACAGATGTATCCCTAAGAGCAACATACTCTGTTACTTTGGCTTTCATGAAACTCGAAGTCAATGAAAACACAACAAAGATACCACATATCTTTTTAACCAAATCAACTCAAGTCCTTATGGTAACTTTTGATTGAATGATTATCATGGACTATTCCCACCATCAGCCGCTACATAATACTGAGCTTTCTCTGAGTTGTCTGAAAAATAAATCACCTTGAACCACTTCCACACCGAAATCAATGTTGCTTCTGCAAATTTCTATCTACCTTTCCGTATATGGAAACCAACCATTACGTGATCCTCTCCAAACTTAATTTGGTACAGATGCACATCAGGCACTTGTAAATACTAAATTGTGTATATTAATATTCTGAAGAGGTTGTTGGTCCGGGCATCTCTTAGAGAGCTAGATTATATTAGGGTTGGAGGCTCTTAGTCGCAACTCAGAAGGCAGTCTAGTTGGTATCCTCTATTTACATTGTCCTGCTTTGAATTCCTAATTTAGAATCTAGGTAGATGTCCCTAACCATTTGAATGATATACCTTCAATCAAATTGGCATTCTTGGACATTTTCCACATTTCGAAACTCAAAACACCCTCCCCTAATCTACTTCCTGCAAATTGTATCTACAGTATAGAGACAACTTGCCACCAAACAGCCCGAAAATTATTGACTTAAGCTAGTAATCTGAACTGCAATTAGGTACTTTCGCTCTCCTAATGACCATGAATCATTGATTGCAGAAGCAAGCAATCGGACTAAGATGGCTTGGGAAGTAAAAGAGGCATTAGTTACTTTTCAGATGTCAGTCATAAAATAACGTACTTTGTCCCAATGATAGAGGCATACATATACCAGTTCAAGACAGCAATATCCAACTCCCCCTCTAGTCGTACTCTCTCCAGCGCAGCACAGAGTATAAATCAAATATGAGAGTCCAGCAACTCTAAACCCTGTTTCCATGTTTCCTTGAGATTTAGGTGATTGAACAACATCTAGTTAATTACCTATGTACTTCAAAAGCTATCGAGCTGCAAGTCAACTGAGTATACATTTCCACTTGTAAAGATTACCTAAATAAGCCGCTCTAATAGAGGCAAGAAAGGCTACTATGTGCCTCATCTTTCCATCTTCCTGATTTTATGATCAGGAACCAAAGGAAACAACTTTGATGTAACAGCAAGGAAATAAACCAATAAAAATATCCACTTAAGTTACATATAAAGCAAAGCACCTGTGGAATGACGATTGCCAAATTCAAGACACCCATCGACAACCCTACAAAACACATAATTAATAAAAGCACTTCAGCAAGCAGAGTTAGAGCATATATAACAAATCAGTATGGAATACTGACCTTGGCCAAGCCCCAAAGGCTCAATGCGTGACGACACTAGCGCATATGGAACACTATATGTGATCTGCAAGAGAACATAAAGTAAAACTAGTTTCAATTTCTAACTGAAGCACAATCCGAATTGGTCCATTTAAGTCTCCTAAAGTATGATAAGTTCCAACATATTTCCAGGGTTGTAGTATAACAACCATCAGCAGTTAAGACCAATACTATCTTACATCCGAACTATGCTTACTACTTGTGAAACCATCAGCAGTTAAGACGAATACTATCTTACATCCGAACTATGCTTACTACTTGTGAAAAACATCAAAATTCTGCTCTTGTAAAGCACTAGAATATCACCATCCACACTTTCAGCAGAGAATACCAACTACAAGGTAGCAGCCACAGTATGGTGCCAATGCAGCTCGGTATATAACGAGTAGCAACTTTATACTTGTGTTTCCAACACCGGAAAGCTAAGTCTCTGATGGTCGTTTTATTTATAAGAGCGAAGAGCAAAGACCCAAAATCCGGCAAAAAGGATTCACCAAAAAGATTAAGAAAAACCAACTTCATGCTATAGGTTGCCAGTAGGAAGGATTCAGTAAACTTACTGCCAATGGAATTCCAAGAAGTGCAAAAACAATCAGTGCGGCAATAAGAATGCCAACTGGCGGTTGAGCATCACCTTCACCATAATAGCCGATATGGTAGGCTACATAGGCAATTATAAGCATTGCAAGGAAACATAGAGCCATAAAGATGTTTGAGAGTCCCCATATGAAGCCAGCTCCCCATTTCCTGCAGATCTTCTCCATCAGTACCGACGTTATTCCTAATAGAACCGAATTCAACATGAGAGCAAATGCTCCCATTCTGACTCCAGCACTATAACTTGGTCCTGAATCTGGGTCACCTCCAAAGATTTCTCGCCCCATCCAGTCAGTATCAAAGAGAAGAAATGGAAACCAACCAATCCAATTCAGGGCGGTAACTAGCAATATAGTCCAAACAGATGCTGGGAAGTATCTGAAAGTCCCAAACAGTTCCCAGAGGAAAGCCTCTTCTGCATGGCCAGACACTTCCACTGCCTCTTCAGTAGCAGGTATCGATCCTTGAGACAACAACCCAATTGAGGGTTCTTTAGCAGATGAAATGCTTATATAGGCGGTGGTCATAATACAGACAATATCAAGATAGAAAGCAAACTTAAGATTGGCACAGTCCACGTCACATGCAGCTGTAACCGTGAAGGGGAAAATTTTGTACCAACCACTGAATGACCCAGTAGCAAAGCCAAGGATATTGCCAACAGCCATGAAAAGTGAGAAATAAGCATTCGCCACTCGAGTCCTGCGGTGATCTTTCCCTGTTAACATATCAAGTGATCAACATCATAGATTTGATTCCATCTAAGTTGAACCAATAAATATCTGTCCAGGTTTTGTACTAAAGGCGATTGGTTCACTTGAAGTCCCAATTTCCTAGTTTCCCACTTGACATAACATAACAACAATAGGTGAAGAACAACAGAACTGGTAGCAGCTAAAATATCATCCAACATATGGCTCTCAGATACATGTACGAAACTTATGCAAGTTGTAGCTTGCTTGGACATCGATAAAACTGCGAAATTTTAAAACGTATCATTTCCCAATATTTGTTCGGTGCTCAAAGAAAAATAGATTACTAAGGAAGCCAGAGATGAGCCAAAACCGGGCCAAAGAAACTGAACCAATTGCAGTTTTCCCGGAATTAGGAAATAGATGGAAACAATCAAGGCACTAATGTAAGCAACCATCCAAAATACAGAGCATCAAAACCAAATGCAACAACCTGTGCAGCATAAAGGATACAAACTTCAACAGAATTTGGACCCACTCAAACAAACTGTCCAAAACAAGTTTCCAGTGCATTAGGCGTACTATCATTGTTTTTGGGATAATACATATGAACATTAACCACACCCAACAAATACTTTTCTGATGGTGATCACCTAACCTGCAAACACTACATTATTACAGGGACGGGTTAAAATCCTCGGCTATTAAGCACCTTTTTTGGTCAACCCAATTTCCTAGGTCCAAATGATACGTGGCACCCTATTCACCACTGACCCACCCCGGAAGAAAAAAATGATAACCCAATTCTGGAAGCCATTAATACCCTCCTTTCAATTTGGGATTTCGAACAACCTTAATAATGAAAATATGATAGCGAGGTTTTGGTTTGTCGAAGCTATATCACAGTCCCCACCTTTCGTACTAAAACTCACGACTCGGCTACTTACTAGTCTAGCAGCAATCAAGCAGGAGAAGCGACCACATTCCCCTTTCACCAACCGGTCCGACCCCACCATCCAAATCTCCACCCGAGCCTACTATGTGACACTGACCCAGAAACGTTTCTTATTTTATATGTGACACTGACCCAGAAACGTTTCTTATTTTATTTGTTTAAATTAACCCACAAAGCTGTCTAATTAGTAATTAGTAATTACTATTAATCAATTGATTGGGGTATAATATAACCGCATTAAACTCTATTGGGGCACAATTGTCCTTGCACATTGACAATCTTAGCCAGGTCCCCAACTGAGCACTACTTGGAAAGCTGGTAGAGAATGATGGAATCTTGAAAAGGACGATACAGTAACAACAATAAGAATAGGTCCAATAATCAACATATTAATTAACTAATTAATCCCAATCAAGAATGCTTCTCCATGGGACAAGTAATGAACCAAAATATCGTATTAAGATAAACTAATTAATTAACTAAATCAATTACAAGAGAAAGACAAGGAAGAAAGGAAAGGGAGAGCAGAGCAAAGCAAAAACTAAGCAATTATCACCTCCACTAGGGTTCCGAATTGCAGAACGCGAACATAAAAAAAAAAATGGAAATCAGACTAAAATTAAGCATTAAGGGATAGTGGATTTAGTCAATTTTACCAGTCATGTCGGCGAGGAGAGCTCTGCAAGGGCCCTGGGTCATGTTATTGGCAACATCAAGAATCCAAAACCCGAAAACGAAGGCTCCGATCGCTCTGGGGCGGAAATCGCCTCTATCCCCGAGCAGCCAGCCGATATCGGCGGAGTGACCGATGATGAGGACGGAGAAGGAGATGAGCAGTGAGCCGGCGACGATGAAGGGCCTCCTCCGGCCGAATCGACTGGTGCATCGATCGCTCAAGTGGCCCACCAGTGGCTGGACTATCAGGCCCGACAGTGGCCCGCACAGCCATATCACACTGGACCAGGCATGCGGAATTCCCAGCTCCTGGACGTATGGAGTCAGGAGAGAGAGCTGCAGCGCCCATCCGAATTGTATCCCGCCGGCAATCGACGTCACTTGCAGCAACAGTCGCAACGGGACTCGCTTCCCCGCCGGCGTCCGAGCGGCCGGCTGCTGTCTCGCTGCCCGGTGTGACCTGTTGGCCGCCCTGTGCGTCTCGACTTCAGAGATTGGCATCCGATTTTCTCTCCTATTCTCGCTCCAATTTCACCCCACTCCGCCGCCACCAGCACCACTTACTCGCTGGTATTGGCTTCCCCTGTTTTGCCCTCCACTCTCTCTTTCTGTCTCTGTCTCGCTCTAAATAATGGAGATGCTTTCAACTTTCAAGCTCTCTCCAACCTTTCGCGGTGGAAGATGCAAAGCGGAGGAAAGCTAGAGAGAGTGGGGGAAAAATGGCGGTTTAGCTCTACCTACACGAAATCCTTTAAATGCCCTCGCTAGATTCACAATTCACAATTTTACCTGTAAACAAGAATCCGAGTGAATTACAGCGGGAGACGGCTTGGATTTGTGAGCATCTCCATATTGACCACCCAACTTTTGTTTTCCTCATTTGCGGGTCACTCCCTCAATTTTGTTTCTCTAACACTCGAGTACCTAACAGATTTCAATGTGGAAAATGAAGATCCAACTTTTCTTTTTAATAAAACTTAAAATCTCAGATTATGAATAAAAAAGGGAAGGGGACAAAAAGCGAGGTGGAGAAAGAGAAACATTAGGTGATATTGTAAAATGGTAGCCAAGTATTTTTCTTTTTAGTTTATAAGTAAGTGTGTAATCTGATGCCCTAAAGATGTAGTTGGTGTAGTTAGGCACAACTATTTTGTGCTTTGGGTAGCTAGCTACCCAAGTGCTTAACAAATTAACATTACAAATTTATATATTTACTACTCTATAATATAATCACCTGAATATCAATATGATCCCTGAATCTTAACAGAGCGAAAATTGTTCATTTATTTGTTTAAGGGGTCGTTTGGTTTTAGTAAATTGATGCATTGTAATTTACATTGTTTTTGATTTTGTGATAGTTATTTTTGTGTTCAAAGAAGTTATATTACTTTTTTATAAAATATCACTTTTAATCTTTGTTTTTAATATAAAAATGCAACACATACAATTTCACGCAAACTATCTCAACAATCTCATTTGAAAGGTGAGATATAACTATCTCTCATTTTCACCATGGTTTAAGAAACCCTTTCGGACTGGCCGGTCTGACTGAAAATATTGGATACTGGATCCCAAACGCCAAACGGTAGGCTATTTTAAGGGTACAAAATGGTTGAACCACGATTCAACCATGATATTATTACAAAATACGCTACCATTAACTTTTCCGGTATGGTTTCGCATTCATTGATTTTGACTCATAGTTTGTGCCACATCAAGCAAACAATAATAGTATGCATGTGAACAATACAATCATTGTAACAATCTCAACCAAATTAGTACCAAAATCAAAATACCCCTAAGAAACGAAACTAAATCTAGTGTTTTTGTTCATAGATTTGTTAGAAAGATAAAAGATAGGAATACAAAGAACTATAAGTTTATCTCAACTCTAGTAAGAGCATTGGGTGGTTGAACGCACAAATTCACTCACAATTGACGTACCCATTATGTTATGGGTGGTTCATATGGGTGAGTACGTGTTCTATAATAGCTGACCCACTAAAAATTAAGTGGATGATGGTGGATTTTGGTTGACCCACGATCCACCCTAATTTTCAACCTCAAACTAGCAAAACTCTTACCTATAGCTTTACCTAAACTGAAATTCTCAAAGTGAAAAAAAAATCTCCCTTCCCATTTTGATCAAAAGATTTGATAATATATCTAGTTATCCTTTCGAGTATCAAATGAATATATTCTCAAAATTATGGTTATCGAGGATATTTGATAAGTCTAATTTGTTTTCATTGCTAGAAATCTAAATCATGTGTCCACTCTCTTTTACTATTCATCGTTAATTTTTCTTGATTCTATAGTAATTTGGCTTATTCTATTGTTTTGGTTTAGAAGTTTTCGGTGGGTAATTTATCATGGGTTGCGGGTCGTGGCAGGTCGGCCCAATGGGTATGCAATTTATATGGAAAATATTAGAAATATTTGTTGTCATTATAAGACCAAGAAAACAAACCATATTATGATAAATGTAGTTAAATTATCTAAGAAATTTGACTAAGATTACATGTAATTTAGGCAAAAACGAATCAAGAATGGGGTGGGTCAGGACAGGTCGGGCCGATTTGAGTACCCATACCCGCCTCGCTCCGCCTATCGGACGGGCCAGACCCGTTTAAAATAGATCAAACAGATCAGGTAAAATGGATGAGGTCGAAGTTGCCATGACAAAGCTGATTGCATTTCTATGAAATATAAGCAGCTGAATGATCAAAATAACAAGCGGGGAAAAGAGTCGTTGCCCGTTGTAAGGTGTATGACAAAAAAAATGGCAGGGGCAGTAATTTGATACCAAAAGCAAGGGTGAAGTTAATAGAAAAGTGACGTATGTAAGTCGGAGTGTTGGGACCCGAAAGCGGAGCTCCCAAAACTATAATAGTAAACTATGACGTAGGTAGAGGGTGGCGAAGTTTTGGGAGTCGTTACGGGAAATTTTAAATACTGAAAATTTGCTTTCAACTTATAATATATTTATAGATTTATCTAATTATGTCATTTAATTAAGTGATCTACGTAATTCACGTTTATAGGCTTTATGTTTATGTTTAAGGTAAGTTTATTTATGTTCAAATAAGTTATATTAATTTTTTAGTAAAACATCACTTTTAATCTTTGTTTTTAATATAAAAATGCAACACATACAATCTCACCTAAATTATCTCAACAATCTCTTTTAAAAGGTGAGATATAATTATCCCTCATTTTCACCATGGTTTAAGAAACCCTTCCAGGCCGGCCGGTCTGACTAAAAATATTGGATACTGGATCCCAAATTATAGGTTGTTTAGGGGTACAAAATGGTTCAACCACGATATTATTATAAAATATGCTACCATTAACTATTCCGGTACAACCTCCGGTATAGTTTTGCAATCATTGATTTTTGACTCATAGTTGTGTCACATCAAGCAATCTCAACCAAATTATCACCAAAACCAAACGATCCCTAAGAAACGAAAAAAATCTAGTGTTTTTGTTCATAGATTTGTTAGAAAGATAAAAGATAGGAATACAAAGAACTATAAGCTTATCTCAACTCTAGTAAGAGCTTTGGACAGTTGAACGCACAAATTCACTCGCAATTGACATACCCATTATGTTATGGGTGGTTCATATGGGTGGGTATGGGTTCTATAATAGGTGACCCACTAACGATTAAATGGATTGTGGTTCACCCACGATCCACCTAATTTTCAACCTCAAACTAGCAAAACTCTAACCTATAGCTTCACCTAAACTGAAATCCTCAAAATGAAAAAAATAATTCCCCATCCCATTTCGATCAAAAGATTTGATAATATATCTAGTTATCCTTCCTTCCGAGTTTCAAATGAATATATTCTCAATATTATGGTTATTGAGGATATTTGTAAAGTCTAATTTGTTTTCATTGCTATAAATCTAAATCATGTGTCCACTCTCTTTTACGATTCATAGTTAACTTTTCTTGATTCTATAGAAATTTGGCTTATTCTATTGTTTTGGTTTAGAAGTTTTCGGTGGGTGATTGTGCCTTAAGAACTTGGACAATTAGTTGAGTTCTAGTGAGTGATTGTGGCTTGAAGACATAGACAATTGGTTAGATTATGATGAAGATTTGTCTTTTCAATTTTTATTGGGCTATTATTAGACTTATACCATGTTTAATAGTTGAATATTTATATGATTTGTGATAGATTACTAGTAGTAATATTATAAAGTAAATGATTCATATAATTTATGATTTAAAGGCTATTTAGTTGGGAGATTTTTATTTTCATTTTAAGTTTAATTTATTTTTAATTATGTGACCTTTTGGAATGTATGTTGTGAACTCACCGAAACCGCTCACTATACGCAAGCAGCCAAGCACTCAACCCATTACAATTACATGTTTTAGTAGGTGAGGTCATTTTCTACTTCATCTACCACTTGGTGGGTTGATCCGAACCTACCCAAATTCGCATAAAACCACCGACTGCTCACCCCTAATCCTAGCACACTTAACTCTACCCCTGGGACGTTACCTATCATTTTATCGGCAGTTTGATTCCTATAGACCACCGGAAAGATTGAATCTTTTTTTTTTAAAATGAGTGAAACTAATGTTTATACCATAATTGATGCCTAATGTTTATGGGCCGTCTGAGCAGCATGTAGTTCTATCCAGGGGTGGACCCACGGGTGTTTAGGGGTGTCACCGGACACCCCTAAATTTTGGGAAAACGATTATCCAATCCCCGGTAGTAATTTACGTATTGACAAAAAATTATAATTGATAGTCGGGGACACCCCTAAATTTAAAAAAGTGATTATCCTACTCTCATCTTTTAGTTTGAGTATGAGAATATAAGTCGTAGTTTGGGTAATTCAAACCTAGGACACTTTTATTATTAATAAACATAATTTTCATTAGGCTACAACTCATATGTTATTCGATTTTAAATACTGTGTAATAGTATAATGTCATTCTCTATCTCTAATTATTTTCAAAATCTAACAATTAAATAAATTTCAAGCTACCCTTAATTTGTATTGATTTATGGTTGTACAACAAGTATTGAAAGAGTCTTTTCAGCTTTGGATTACATCAAGAACAAGTTTAGAAATTGAATATGTGATCAGTTCGTGAATGATTGTCTAATATGATATACAGAGACAATTTTTTTTAATAATGTAGACCCCAAGTGTGTTCTACAATCATTTTTAATATGAAAAGTGAAAACACATTGTGAATTTTTTCAAACTGTATGAGTAAAGTATTTCTTATTTAAATATTATTTATTAATTATTTTAAAATTATTTGTATTTAATATTTTTTTTAAAAGAGGACACCCCTACGTAAAATTTCTGGGTCCGCCACTATTTCTATCAAATAATTTTGAAGCTAATGTTTGTACCATAATTTATCCATTATAATAAGCATAATAATTCTGGCCTTTGGAGCGGGAATAGGGTCAATGAGCATCTAATAAATACAAAATCAGTAAGCACTCTTAACTCATTAG